GGAGGAAGGAAGGAAGGAAGGAAGGAAGAAAGGAAGGAAGGAAGGAAGGAAGGAAGGAAGGAAGGTAAGAAGGAAGGGAAAGAAATAGTGCTCTGTGTTATATGCAGTCTATCAGGGAACAGCGGAGTCTTGCAATTGGTGAGATGTGTGCTGTCTTGTTTTCAGATGGTTCCCTCCAGCCACAGTAAGGAAGATAAACCAGAATGGGGACTGATGAGAAACGATGTGGGCCAGGGCGGCAGGGAAAGACATCGCCAACGAAACAGGCGAGGCTTCCATGTGCAAACATTCCTGCCTTGAACGCATTCCCTTTCATCTTGGCATCTCAAATTCAGTCTAGAAAGTTCCCTGTGGAGCTTGTTAAAAAACACATTTTTCTAGGGCCCACCCTATGGATTCTCCCTCCATCAGGAGTGAGGCGAGAGGTTCAGGAATCCGAATTGTAAGCAAGTACCCCTGGCGAGTGGCTTTCCTGCGGGTGACAATTGAAGACGGACTGGTCCCCGTGACCCAGACTCTACCCTCCTCCTGAGCACCTCTGTCATCCTCCGCAAAACCTTTCCCACAGCTCCAGTCGCCGCCAACCACAGTCAGAGCCAGTCTCCCCCGGTGCTCACTGTTTATATGTGAATTTCGTAAACTTCAATGCGCAGCCCTTATTAAAATGCAGATTACATTTCTAGCAAATTCCCAGGGGATGCGGATACTGCTGGTACACGATTCTCGCTTGGAGGACTAAAGTCACTGTATTATGTGTTGGTATCACATTATAGTGACGATCTCTTGGTTCTTTAATGTAAGTGTCTTGCCTCCCAACTTGACTGTAAATTCCCAGAGACCTTGCTGGGATGCCTTTGGGGACTCACACCACTAAGGGCTGGATATACAGCTGCTGCTTTACAAACACAAATGGAATTGAATAATTCAAAGTAAAACAGCAATGACTTCTAGATTTCAGGTTGGAAATAAAGAATAAGTAGAGAACCCCCAGCATTAATTCTTTATTATTGTTTCCGTCAGGCACTTTTATAAAGCCACTCCCCGGAAACATAGAATATCCAGAAAAAAGAAAAAAAAAGAAAAAAGAAAGAAAGAAAGCGTGCTCAATGGGGAATTCAAGACCAAAAATCTTAGATGCCTACATTGGAAATGCAAAATGGAGAACATATAGCTTTCATAACTTAGAAGGGAGCTGTACTTTTCTCAAAATTTCTGGAGTGCCTTCTCAAAAGTTTTACAATTCTGTAACTGGAGTCCACAATTTTGGGGCCCTCCACAATGTAGACAAATTACTGGGTTCAGTGACATACAAACCAGGTCCCAGTCTCAGAACGTTGTGGGGGTTTTTTGTTTTGTTTTGTTTTGTTCTGTTTTTACCTTTTAGAGTCGGGGAATTAAACATAGAATAGCCAGAAAGAAAAAAAAAAAGAAAGAAAGAAAGCATGCTCAATGGGGAATTCAAGACCAAAAATCTTAGATGCCTACATTGGAAATGCAAAATGGAGAACATATAGATTTCATAACTTAGAAGGGAGCTATACTTTTCTCAAAATTTCTGGAGCGTCTTCTCAAAAGTTTTATTAATTCTGTAACTGGAGTCCACAATTTTGGGGCCCTCCACAATGTAGACAAATTACTGGGTTCAGTGACATACAAACCAGGTCCCAGTCTCAGAACGTTGTGGGGGTTTTTTGTTTTGTTTTGTTTTGTTCTGTTTTTACCTTTTAGAGTCGGGGAATTATCTAGACTCAAATAGGAATCCCAGACTCCCATGTGTGGCTATGTGCTGCTTAAGTGAATTTTTAAGATTTCTATTCAGACACAAGTATAGAATCCACCTAACACTGAAGGAGCATCAGTGTTAGGTAAATTGGGTAAAGCCTGCTAAAACCATGTGCCGCTGACAACCAGAAGGATTTATAAGCAAGGAAGTATGGGAGACGGTTTCCTGAA